TTGGCCCCAGATGAAGTATATACACATACAAATTCTACCACAAATAATACTTTTAGACAATGCCAAAAATTCGGCCTTTATATAATGTTTTGTATATTAGTTCATTTTTAACATCTTTTCAAAACTTGTTTTGTGGCTGACATTATGCTAGGCACAGGACGCAGAGACAAAGGTTGTGGTCTGTGCCTGAAAGAACTTTTGGATAAGGGGGGCAGAATTGGTATAAGAAATCATTAAAATTAAGTGTGGTTCATGAATAAAAGAAGTGTGTAAGATAGAAGAGTAGCTCATGGGGGAAGCTGGTGGTTCTGCTTGGTTGTAAGGGTAGGGGATGGGATCTGAGGCAATTCTATAATCTGAATGGGATTCAAACCACGAGTAAGATTCCAGCAGTCATCCACACAGGGACAAGGATGAAAGCAGTAAACTGGACAGGAACTAGCATAGCAGTACTGTGACCTGCAAGTTCTTTGGTCATGACTGTGCATGGGCTGTGACTGAAGTCACTCCACATGATGGGAAGGATACGTGGTGAGGAGGAGGTGAGGGGATTGTCAGTGGAGTAGAATGGCTCATCGCGTGGGCATTGAAATTACTTAAATGGTAGGATACATGATGGGGAGAAACATGGGCTGGTGAGGTTTCCTCTAAAAAGAGGGAGAAGGAGCATTCAGTGAAGAGGCTGTAGATTTATGAGTGTATTATCAGCATGCCTGGGGGAAGTTTTAGATGGGAGAATTAAATAATAGAAGAGTATGTGAAGTGGAGGATTGTAGGGGGCATAGAGCTGGAAGGGAATCAGCATGTGAGAAAGAGATTAAACCAGAGACGTGTTTTTTGTTTCATTTCAATAAATGTTTATTGAGGCCTTACTGTATGCCATGTGCCACGCTTGCTCTTGGGAAACAAGACTCATAAGGCAGCTAAGGAGCCACAGGGGTATGTACGTGGAAAGGTAAATAGCCCATGTCTCTGTGATCTCAACACAAGAAACTAAGCCTGTAAAGAGCAGCGCTTTCAGGTTTTCGCGAGTGACTTTTCTAAAGTAGATCTTGATATATACAGTAAGTCCTCACTTCACATTGTCAGTAAGTTCTTGGGAACTGGAACATTAAGCGAAAAGATTTATAATGAAACCAACTTTACTGTAGATTATGAGCAGAAACAAGAGTTAGGTTCCTATGGCATATTTCTCATCACAAAATCATCACCAAACTTCTAAATAAAGATCTAAAACACTTCTAATATTAAAAATTGGAATAAATGTGAGCTCCAAATACCTTTAAGAAAAATGGATAAAAACAAGTCAGATTAATATTTTCCACCCTGCTGATTCCTGTTCGGGGTCTGGGGTGGCTGGAGCCTCTCTCAGCAGTCAGAGAGCAAGGTAGGACTCACCCGGGGCAGGACGCACTTTCATCTCAGGAAACATTACACACACTCACACTCAGAATGGGCCCATTTTACATGCCAATGAACATGCACATTCTTGGAATGTGGGAGTACACTGGAGTACCGAGAGAAAACCCATGCGGATATGGGAGAATGTGCAATCTCCACACAGACAGTGACCCTGGTCGGGAATTGATTCCCCCCGCCCTCATCAACGTTATAACAAAACAACTTTGAACAAAACGACATTATTGAGGATATACTTTATTTACCAGTTAATCAAATGAAATCTACCGTATTCATTTAAAATTTTCTATTTTTCATCATTCAGTATTATCCATTAATTACAATATGGTACCACCACATGGAGCAATTTATCATGTATTCAAATAACATTTATTGACACGAGATATGTTCATGATATGATTTTAAAGTAAAAAAAAAAAAAAAACTTTTGAAATTATATATACAACAAAATCCTAGTTTTATGAATGTGTGTGTGTGTGTAAGTGAGAGAGAGAGAGAGAGAGTTGTCAAATATGGGCTGGTGAGGTTTCCTTTAAAAAGAGGTGGAAGGAGCATTTAGTGAAGAGGCTGAAGATTTATGAGTTGTCAGCATTATCTCTGGGTCATGAGATTAGAAGGATGTTTATTTTCTTCATCTTCCAAGTGTTCTAAAATGCATATGTATTATATAAGCAATTTATCATCAGAAAATACTGTTTAAAATACTTTCCCTAGACATGCATATTACTCTTTTTAATTTTATATAGCATTTATAGTAAAAATTAAAACCCTAATAGACTTTCTTCTATCACATGGTAACTTTCTAGCCATTCTTCCTTTTTTGGTCACTGCTTATTCCTAGGAATTCCTGTCTGACACCATTTCTAGCTTTATGTTGCTGAAGGAGATGGCTCACAGTTCACTGATCTCAGTTCACTGATGAACAAAACCCTATCCCACACCTCCACCATACGCTTTTATCTTTGTATTCTCTACCTATTCCTCTGTACACAATGTTAAGCTTTGTCGATTTGTCTCTTTGCTGTTTATATCTTTATGGTCACTATTTTCCATTTCAGTGCCCTTTCAATTTTGTTTTATTTGTGATTATCGATCTTATTCTCTTTTCTGGTGAAATGTTTATTCTAACCCACATCTGCAAGCCATTCATAGCACTACCTGGATACAGTTAAACATTTCATTGAATGTGAGTCTTTAAGAATATATTCCTTTAGTATCTGTAGGTTTATCTTTGTAGTCTCTTTAAAAGAAAGAGCAACATGTGAATGCAAAAATGTCATCCAAAAAAAGCATATCCATCTGTCTGTGAAGGCTTATTCAAGGGACATTTCGTGGGTGAGTGTGATTGTTTTCTTCTAAGGTAATTCAGAGGGTATCAATGAATGTCAAACATACCTAATTTTCCTTTTTTAAACCGTTTTGGAGGTAACGGTTAGTAAATCATGTAACCCTTTTCTGAAATAAGTTTATTCTGCCTCTGCACATTCTCGGAATTATGAACTCCACCTGTGAATAAAGCAGGATTTGTGCTTTATTGTTTCTACCATTATTTCTGTGAGTTCCAAGTTTCAGAATTTGATGGAGAGACATATATATGCTTACCCTATTCCTTTTGACTCTAATTTCATAGACTTGGATTATTCCCTTTCACTTTTCCTCCTTTAGGACAGAGTAATTGGAAGTTGTTTTACTTGCCCCTTGAAGTATCCCTCCCTGTGCTTTTCTTAGCTCAAGGATTGCTTTGTTGAGTGCGTTACCAAAACTCTGCTTTTTCTCCAGGCCTACATGTATGATAATATCACTACATACTCTGTTTTAGTTTCTATATTCTTTCTTCTGGTATCACAGAGCTTTTGGCTGCAGTTTTGTTTTGGATCAATGTCCTCAGTTGTAAGGAACAACGGAGTCAGGACATAATCCTCAGATATGCTGTGTGGGCCACATCCTTGGGGAAGTTAGTTGTAGAGATAATCCAAAATAGCCGCCAATGCCGAAATAATCATTTGGTAATGATTTTGGAGTGTATCCTGTTATGTATGTATATTTAACTGAGAAAAACAATTGCTTTGTTTTGCTTACGTGTATGAGAGCTGATGGAAGGAAAGAAAAAGTGAAAATACTTTGCCGGAGGATGGAAAAACCAGTGTGGGATTAAATGATTGCTGTAGGTAATCCCCAAAGTAAATTAATCCATATGAATAATCCAACATGTGTAATTAGCTTTGAAGGTGGCTCTGCTTTCCTTAGGTTTAAAAAAGGTGAGTAAAGAAGCCCTCAAGTCAAATTACAAAAAAAAAGTAATCAAAAAGGAAAATGGTTTCTTCAGGAGAAACAAAAAGGACTTGAGTTTGGTTTTACCTCCCTCCCTCTCTCTCTCTCTTCCTTTTTTACCTGGCTGTATCTCCTGAGCCTCCATACTGCTCTGCTATACCACTTACCCATTACAGCATTTTGCTGTGTTTACATCTCTTGTCTTCTCATTAGTCTGTAGGTGATTTGAAGGAAAACTCTACATTCCATTCATATCTTAGACTGTGCCTTATGTATAATTAGTCCTCAACAAATGTAAACATATATTTTATATTAATTAATAATGATTTTTATTCTCTAATAATATGAAGTAGTATTATGCAAAATATGTTAAAGAATTGTGCTCTTGGAAATAAGTTTCCGTTAGAGAAATAAAGATAAAAGACAAAAACATATTTTCTAGACCGCAAGGGTAACATAGTGTAATAGGTTATCAAAGAAGGTGAAACCTCCATCCCTGGAGATCCTTAAAAATTGGACAGAGAAAACATCTGTGAGAGTAACTGAAGCTTTAAACCTGTCTTGAGGCAAGTAGACAGACAAATGGTTCTGTGATTTTTTTGATTCCTCGGCCTGGAGAAGAGAAGACTGAGGGGTAAGGCATTAAAACTGCATCAAATATGGAAAACAGCTATTATTGCTTCCATAGGAAAACCAGTCGAAGGAGATTAACCTATAGTCTTAGAGATTTTGGTTACATTTATAGTTAGGAATTTTAAGACACAGGTTGTGAAAATCCTGTGGAAGTATTCAAAATAAAAGATTGATTTGTGTGGATGTGGAGTCAGCTCTATGATTCTGTTGCAGTAAAAATATTTTTTCTATTACTTGGAATAGAGAGAATTGTTCAATACATTGTATTCAGTGTATAGCATTCTCTTTGGAAGAGACAGCTTCTAAAAGTAGTATTTTAAAGCACTAAGCATCATCACTATTTCATTGATAGGAGGGAAGAACAGAGATAACAGGTGTGAAATTCTTATCTAAATACCTGTACAGAGTTGTATTATTAAATCATAGCCAAAGTATGAAGAAAAGTCTGTGACAGAGCTCTGCTCTGCTGGGTCAGCCTTGTTTTAGCCACTAAACCTTTTCTCAATGAAAATGTAGGATTGCAGGGAAAGGGGCCACAAAAATCCTATTAATACAAAGGGAACCAAAAAACTTATTAAAAACAATCTTCATTATGTATTTGATTGTAATTTCTGCATTCAGCCACACGATGTCACAATTGGATTTTGATTTTCACTGTGTGTTTTTCTCAAATACAGATGAAGGCATTTTCAAAGCAGGAGCAGAGAGATCTGAAACACGGGGGGCAGCAGAAGTCCAAGAAGATGAAGATACTCAAATTGAGATTCCAGTCGATCAGGTAATCTTTGTGCCTTTAAGATTATGCACACATCAATTACTACTATTTTTCTCTCAAGTTTTGTGGTATCTGCTCCATGCTGTTCCTTTGCATATGTTAGCTAAACCATCTCAGGTGTGAAGTGGCTGAATGACCTTTAAAGCAAAACAAAACACCTTCAATTCTTCCTAGTATTTTTACAAAGAATAGCCATTTGTAGAGTCTTTTTTAAATTATTATGGAAAATGGTATGTCTTTAATAAACAGCATTGAAGAATAATGTGGATTGGAGTTAGATATGAGGTAGAAAGAGGTAGAAAGCTAGACACACACACAAAAAAGAGTATTGGCTTGGCGTTTTATCTACAAAAAACAATCCTCCATTTAGAAAAGTAAGGTTGTCTTGTTTTGTTTTGTTTTTAAATACCCTTATATTCTCTCATTTACGGTCCTTGAAATTGTGGTACAATTTTTTTTTTTCTTAAAGAAATTGCTTATATAAATGCTACTTGAATATTTGCTATGTGTGTATCGATTTTATTTCTTAGGCCAATGGAACACGGTACTGTGTGCGTGTGCGTGTGCATGTGCGTGTGCGTGTGCGTGTGCGTGTGTGTGTGTGTGCGTGTGTAAGCACGTGCTTATAGAAGAGACTAAGGTATTAATTCTAGCTAAATGATGCCAGAATAAAAGTTAGTAAGGCTTTTTAATACAATTTAACCAGGTTTCTTACAATTCTAAGTGGAGGATGGAAATTTAGGTGAGGAGGGAAAATCATAATCCCAGGCTCAAGGGAATGAGAAGTCACTAGAAATTGCCACTTGTCCTCTATTATGTGATATTTCCTTTACAAAAAGCAAATTTCATAATCCAGCAAATTTTATAGATGATCTTCTCAGTTGTGTCTGTCTTAACAGTGTGGTAGTGCAATTGCCGCTTGATTATTTCACTGGCATTTTCTGGAAGCATCACCTTCCTGATGAAAAGCCTAATGTGTTAAAAATCACACAGATTTCAAAAATCCAATTTATTATCCAAGATTAGCTACAACTAATAATTTTTCATAAACTTCAGTTATAGGTATTTTTCCTGAGGGAAAATGGAATTTTAAGTCTTCTGCAAAACTAATTTAATTAAATATCATAAGACAAAGAAGAGTAACCGTCATATATCTACAACACCTAGTAGCTGCCGAAACCAGACTAATTTATATTCCAAAGTCACCAAATATCAAGAGAAAATTATAGTGTTATTACCCAAGGAAAAATCTTTTTGTTTATCACTTAACAAGTTGTGAAATCTGTGATAGGTATTTCTTTACCTATAAGTTTGATGATCACAGGAATGGCAGTGGGCAGGAGGCCTTGATCCCTGATAACAGTTGAGCAGCCTTGGATAAGTGCCCACAAAGCTTAATTTCTTATTTGTCTGGAGAGTACTAGCTTATTAAAATACAGGTATGCCGGAGAGATTGATTAGACAGATTGGTAAAAGCTGGGCAATATCAACAAATTGATGTCATTTTAAAGGAAATGAAACCAAGCAACAAAAGGCAAGAATTACTTTCTTTTTTGATCCTATTAGTAATAGAGTTGGGATTGTCTAACTCACGAGGTTGGCAGGAGCTGCTTATCAGTTTAAAGGTTAGCATCATTCTCTCTATGGTCTGGTGACCTTTTTGCTCTATATCCTAAGCAGCAATGTTAAAAATATTGTCAAAAACCAAGTGAGAATGTGGAAAAATTATTGTAAAGTTTCATTATAGTAATCTTCATATAGTAATCTTCAACTCTGAGGTCATGCCCTCATGGCGATCTTCATTGAACAATAGCTACTGTTTATTAAGTACCTGCTGAGTGCCAGGCACTTTACTAGGCACTTTTATCTGATATAATTGTGATGACAATGCTGTGAGATAGATCTTATCATTCACACTTCATACAGAGGAAGAAAGTGAGCTCGCGTGGGTGAAATTACTTGCCCAGCATTGTACAGTCAAAAAAAGGAGTTGAGATTTACAAGCAGGTGTGTCTAACTTCGAAGCACATGAGTGATTTAGGGGAACAGTATTAAATATAAAATAAAACAAAACAAAACAAACAAACAAAAAAAATCCAACAAATTATTAACCCAGGGAAGGAAAAAAATCCTGCATAAAAGGGAAATGGAGTCACCCTATACTGCTTGGCTCTGCTCTAAACAATACTTAACACACACCGCCTTTAGGGCCATTCCTAGTTAAACATCTCTGAACTGGTTTCCTATCACCTAAATTGTTCATGTTGTAACTTTAATTAAAGGACCAAGAAGAAGAATGTGTGTGTGTGTATGTGTGTTTGTGCGTGCATGCACGTGTGTAAAATATGTGCAAATTGGCCAAATAATTTACCTATGCTTGAAAAGCAGATCAAGTTTTAGAAGTAAATATCAAGGCCTCTGTTGGGAGATAATTCTCCATGGAGCTCTTGTGTTTCCCCATATCTTGTGAGCAGAGGCGCTGACTGTCTGTGTACATTCTGGACTATCTTTTCAAGAATGTTTGTGTGGTGAACAGCCTTGAAGACAGAGATAATAACTTCCTCTGGAGCAGTCATTCTCAACTGGCGGCAATTTTGCCTCCATGGGGGATATTTGGCAATTTCTGGGGACATTTTTGATTGCTATTACTAAAGGCTATTAACTGCTACTGAGGGTAGCAGCCAGGGATGCTGCTAAAATATATTGTAATGTACACGACAGCCCTCAAACACACACAAAATTATCCAGTCCAAAGTGTCAATAGGGTTGATACTGAGAAACCCTGCTGTGGAACAAACTCTAGGTTTGTTCATTGTCCAGTATAATAAAGACAATGTCTCCATATGTTACAAAATTTAGGTTTATTACTCTCGATAGAAGATTTGTTGCCATTGAATTGTGTCTTCAAAACTAGTAAAAATGGTAAATTTTAAGTTATATATATTTTACCACAACAAAAATATTTGGAAAAAAAATTTAGATTCTTTAAACATCAGGTTCTTCCCCTGAAATACAGGCCACTGTGTGTATCAGTTAGCCCCCTTCACAAAGCCCTAAGGAATGGGGCGTTGGTGAGTGGGTACAAGTGGTGATACTCTAGGTACTGACATTGCTGTGAGCAATCAAGTCCTTTGTCTCTGATCCAGGAGTCACATGGCTTCTGCCAGCATCCATGAGACTGTGGCAGGATAATGTGTTAGCTTGCAAGTAGGGTAAAATTTGAGACCTTTCATAGTCCTTGATAGCCTCTACTGGCATCAGCTAGCATGTGCGTTTGTGTGTGTATAATGGAACACTATGGACAGATTCTAGCCAGAAAAGAGACTGAATTCTGTCCCAAGGTCCAGACTTTTTCATTTTTGAGATGAGTTAATACCTTCAAACTCATGGGAAACTGAAGAATGTCACATTATTTTATGTATTCGGAAAAACCAGAACAAATATCTTTTCTTAGGAGTTTAAGTATAATAAGAATTTGGTACTCTTTTAAAAGTTAAATTTTTTTGCATGCACATTCCAAATCAATCTGGCTGTCCATAAGCAGTGGAACAAGTACCTGATTAACTAATACCTGTGGTTATACCCTGGCACTGACTACTCATGTGTCAGTATGCTCCATTTATAAAATGGAGCTTTTCCAAGCTAAGGAGGCAAGAAATGAGCCCGTTCCATTATAGTTAAGTAAATTACCCACTAGCAAGTGAGGATCAGGCAGGGGAATCTATCATCTCAGAAACGCAGGCAAATAAATACCTATAAAACAGGCAAATAAATAATTATGTTTTAGATTTTGTTCCATTTGACAGAAAAGAGCAGAAGATAGGGATAATAACTTTAGAGTGGTTTTGGATTGTTTTATAGCTTTCTCCATTAGTTTGTAGCAGATTTTGATTAGTAAAATAATGAGAATTACAAAATGTTTTTATGCTAAGTAGTTTCATTAAATAGCATTTCAGCCAGTGCTGTGAACACTGGAACAGTGAAAGCTTTTTTGTTTTGTTTTGTTTTTTTAATTAGAGGTTGTGATATATACTATTTATTTATTTATTTATTTGAAACTTTTAATCAAAGTTAAACATACAATATTTTTAAAAGTCAGCTAATTCAACAAAGATGATGACAAAAATGGCGACTTGCTGCCCCACCTCTCCCTACCTGGATTTTTTCTCTACAGAGGTAACCAGTTTGAACTACTTTGCTCTTTCTCATGGAATACACTGCTGTATTTCTAAACCATACATCCCTCCCTTCCCTCCATTTTAATACCTGTGAGATCTTTGAGTCTCACAAGTGATGGCATGTCATAGTTTAATTGATTTTGTTTTCATTCTAATTGTACATAGAATTATAGAGATCCTTTTAATTGGTGACATCTCAAATTTAATAATATACATTTCCTGATTTTATTTTTCAAATTTAGGTATTATTTATTAATTTTATCTCTAATTACTATGGAAGATGATTATTTAGATCTCTTACCAACTCCTTCCCACCCCTCCTCCCCAATAAGGCCACATGCACATAAAACTAACTACACACGCACATGTTTCCCCTTCTTTCTCTCCATAATTTTTTATTTTTCAATTACAGTTGACATTCAATATTATTTTATGTTAGTTTCAGATGTACAGCATAGTGACTAGACATTTACATAATTTACAAAGTGATCTCCCAATAAGTCTAGTATCCACTTGACACCATACATAGTTATTACAATATTATCGACTATGTTCCCTATACTGTACTTTACATTCCCATGACTGTTTATAACTACCAATTTGTACTTCTTAATCCCTCACTTTTTTCACCCAGCCCCTTAACACCCCTCCCATCTAGCAACCATCAGTTCGTTGTATGTATCTATGAACTGATTTCTGTTTTGTTTGTTTATTTTGTTCTTTAGAGGTCACATATAAGTGGAATCATCTGGCATTTATCTTTCTCTGACTTATTTCACTTAGCGTGATACCCTCTAGGTCTGTCCATGTTGTTGCAAATGGTAA